GAATAAGTAGTTGTCAACAGGCCGACCACACAGAGCTAGATGCAAATCACCAAGTCAATTTAGCACCAGTTTCTAAAGTTCTGATTAATCCTCAACTTGTTCTGTGCTATTATAATGCATTATTAAATGCAATGCACGGCTCGTACCCCATCCTTTGTAAAGTCACCACACACTGACGGTGACGGTGAGACGGATGTCAGCCCCAGGAAGCCTCTGGAGCGATACTCTTTCCCCATGACAAGAAGACTTCTGTTGGTGAGACACATGGGCAGAGCCATCTGGCAGAAAACCAAACCTTCCGAAGGTTTCAATCACGCTCGCTCTTGATGTGTGCATGCATTTTTAATCAAAGCATGCCTTACTGTTCAACCCAGAACACTCATTTTCTCCCGACTGATCCAGACACCACCCCGTCCACCACCGGGACTGCACTGAGCTGGTCCCAGGGGGATGTTGTACCAGGACCCACACAGAGATGCCCTGAGGAAACCCAGGACACCCAGCTAAGTGTGTATTTCAGATAAACAGCCAACAGCGCCACAGTAGACCTACGTCCCATCGACACTTGGGATACACTTACACTAACATATTTGCTAACGCGGGCAGCACCTTGTACAACTTCGGGTTGGGGTCTGTGCCTGGCCCCGCCTACGCTGCTTGTTTCCAAGAGGAAGACCTTGGCGGATGGAGTTCCAAGTCCACTTGTGCCCTCGTGTGCCTCCCCCTGCCCTTCCGGTACTTGTTAACACATCCCTTCTAAGCTGGGCCTTTACTCCGTAAGAATCTTCCATCACTATCTTCAGAAACTAAACTGTAAGTAAAGATCAAACTAAATTAACCCCCTGGTGAAAGAATTAACTATCCCTGCCTTTATTACAAAAAACAAAACAGAACAGAACAAAACAAACAAACAAAAAAACCTAGACACTGATTTAATGGTCACTGGGTGAAGCTAGAATTTCTTACAATGATTTTCTTGATTATTTATCACGATTTCATACAAAGACCACAGGAAAAATTAATTAGCATCTTTCTGCGACAGCTTTTCTCCAATTAAAACATGCTCGATTCACAAAATACATTAGCTGTTCCGTAGAACTGTGTCAAAATGGCTGCCAACACAATTTAATCTCTAACCTGTTGGAATTATAATATACCACAGAAATGAAATCTACATATATTTACATTTTAAAACATAGGATGCTGAGATAAGAGTCTAAATTGCTGGTAAATTACCATTTACTCTAAAGATAATCAAAATACATGTGTCTGTATGATTGTGTGTGTATAAATTACTATATGAAGTATATGTACATAAACATAGATACACATTCTTGAGTCTTTTTCAATGTGCTGAATGTTTTAAAAAATAATATGAAGTGGGCAAAGGAAAGCATCCAAAAGCCAAGTCAGCAACTGGAGGAGCTGAGGAACATGGTGCAGATGGCAGGGCTGCCTTCTCAATACCCCTTCTCTCTTTCCCCACAGCTCAACCATCGACCCTCCTCAACGGTCCTCGGGTCAGCCATGTGCCCACCTCCCCTTCCCTTGCTGTCAGGGTGACCCCGGATGGTTCCAGACCCCTGGGAGGCCAGCAGCAGGCACTGGGTGGAACTTCGGGAAGCTCTTCAAGAGGAGGAAGGACTGGTCTGCCCCCCTCATCGCTGCCTCCCCCTCTTCCTGCTGGAATACAGGCTCTCAGCTGGAGGTGGAGCAGCCTTCTTGCGCCCTCCAAGTGGCCGGCATGAAGACAGAAGCCACATACCAAGGGTGGCCGAGGGAAGGAGGGAGGACCTGGGTCCCAAAGGCCACCCCAGGAGCGCTGGACAAGCAGCGTGCTACGTGCCAACACAGGTCTGAGCTGGCTAAGTTGTCATCAGTTGGGTGTGCGGTTGCCTGCCGCTGAACACTGCCCAAACTGCTACAGAATGGGAGGCTGAGAAAGCTCTGTTCATCTACCTGCAGAAAGGCACTTGTTCAATTTCTAGATTGCTCTACTGTAATTCTTAAACATAAGATGGACTTCAGGTATGGATTTTTTTGTGTGGTACAAGCCAATATTGAAAACAATCAAAGCTACCAGAGGTACCAAAACAAACATCTAACTGTGCGCACTCTGAGCAAACTCACTCTCGGCCCTTGGAAGAGGCACAAAGTGCTACATGTAACATAAGCTGCAAGGGTCTGGGGCACGACACAGGGAACGCAGCCAACAGTTTACAGTAACTATGAGCGGAGCTTAACCTTCAAAACTTGCGAATCGCTGTCTGGAACACCTGTAACTTACATTAATAGTGTGTATCATCTCTACGTCAATACAAGCCTGTAAAAGATGTCATTTTTAAAATAAAACTGGCAGTAGTGCAGAGGCATCTGAAGGGTCTGCGCTAAGAACTGAGGCTGGGTGCCGCACAGATAGCTTTTCCTGGAGGGTAGAATTTACTGCTCTGTAGCAGTTCAAACAGAGGACAGGAACCCTTTCCAAGCACGTCGGCATTTAAATAAAAGCAGGAGCAGCCCCCCGTCTGCAACACGGATCAAGCTGCGCTCACATCAGAGGACTCATTCTCCCCGATATACGTGCACATCAGAGGCACCAGGTGGCCCACGGTAAGAAGGCCTGGCTGTACCAGCACATTCCTGAGCACACGTGATCGAAGGAACCAAGACATCACGTCACGTGGTGGCGAGGCTGCCGGGATCAGCAGCAAACCTCATGGCAGAGACAGCGGAGAGCTGGCCCGGACTCCCTCCCCGCCCTGCGTGAGCGTCTCAAGACCCCCTGCGTCTCAGGCTCACAGAGTTTCCAGCCTCCCCCTGTGCAAGGAAGCACGTGCGAAGCTTGTCACCTGGCACACTCCCAGCAAAACCAGAGAGCCGGGTCCTGGGGGGAGGCCCCCGGCACCGCAGCCTCAGCTTCAAGGAGACAGACAAGTTCAGTCTGAAATCCACCAGGGACCAGCTACTCGGGAAAACAGGAGTGACTCTGTAATTAAATACCTTTCCCAGAGGGTCCTACCTGGGGGCTGACAGGGGAAGGGGGAGGAAAGAGGAAAGAGAAGCCAAGATGGAAAGGCAAGGGTGGGGGACAAACAGACTTTGTTCTGTTCTCAGATTTCCTGAATATTTTCCCAAAGGGACACTGAACACTAAGCCAGGACTCAACCAGGATTGCAGTTTCCCTCTAGAGAAGACCTCTTCTTGATCATTATGCACCGTGCTTTGCACATGGTACGTGTCCTAATAATGACAGTACAGAGAACAGGTGACTCCCTGGAACAGAGCTGTCAGTACAGGAAACAGTCTCTGGCTTCTCCTGTATTGAAACAAACGAAAAGGAGTGAAGAAGAAAGTGCATACTCAAAACCTGCTGAATAATCCCAGCCGCTTGCAGGACTAGGAGTGCCTGAGAGGGGCCCTTCGGATCTGCACGCCCCACGGGAGGGAGGTTTCTCTAACACCACCCGGTGCCCTGCTGGGGGCGTGGGCTCTTCTCTGCATAGGCTACAGCAGGAGCTAAGGCAGGAGTGAGGGCTTCCGCTGAGAAGAGGAGCCTGGAAAAGCCCCAGGACCCCCCGCACAGGTTACTCTTGGACACTCACAGCAGGCTGAAGGGGAAAGCCTGCTCTGGACCCGAGGGTTGGTGTTCTGAGACTATGTACTTCCATGAAAAACTCCCAGAAAGTGGATTTCAAAGCCAAACACAGAAGACAGGTGTCACAATGCCCAAGTCCATCCGGTTACTATATACCACTGAGCAGACTGCCCACATCCTCTGAAATTCACATGCATTATTTCAAGTCACATCCTGAAGTTGTGTATGTTCAAACTTTAAAAATAAACACCTCCAATGGGGGACACCTTGTGACAGATGAAAGTCAGCACAGGGGTCCCACTCTTAAATGACATCACTCTTGACTAAGGATAGAGGCGCTCACTGCCCAGACACTGGAGATATTATTAAATGGCTTGCTGTCATGGGACAAAGATTGAGTCATTGATTTCCTTAAAACCCAACAGCACTTGGTATCCTTTAAGACAGGAAATGCCCAGATGCTTGGCACAGAGAAAGCGTCAATAAATGACAGTTGACGTTAACTATGACCATTAAAGGATGTTAACTGGTTACAGAATATGAACTGTAATCTTCTCCATGTTAACGTTCTTAAGCCAAGAAAACACAAATGTTTATTTTTACAGTTTACACACAAGACGTCAATTCTTTCAAATAAAGTCCTCACTGTGCAAATGTTGGAGCATCTACTGTTTTCCAGAAAATTCTGCCAGCCCCAGAAATGCATAGGAAGCAAGACAAAGCTTGTTCTCACAAGAGGATGGATGCATGTGAGGTTACAAAGAGTAAACCAATAAATGCATAGACACATGGTATAACAGTGGGTGATAATAAGTGCTAAGAAGGACAGGGTATAATGAGGGACAGAGTGCTGCCAGGTCAGACCACAGATGGAGCGGTCAGGAGAGCTGCCCCAGAGGGGGTGATACTGAGGGGAGAATCCTTCCTGAAGGAAAGCAGGAGCCACTGGTAGCTATCCCTGGTAGCTCAGGGATAAGCATGTGGGTGAGTGTGGCTGGTGACCAGTGCAAGAAAGCAGAGAATGAGGACACAAAAGGGGCCAAGGGCCAGGCCATGTGAAGCTCTGTCATTGGTGAGTCCTGAGCAGAGGTGCCATTATTGGTACTGATGGCACTGATGGGTTACATCATGGCACCAACTGAATGATGAGGAGCAATTTGTTGGGCTCCTTTTTCATCCCAGCCTCATTTTTCAATCGATCACTTCCTTCAAAGGCTCCGACATTCCCCTGTTTTCAGATTCCCCTGTGCGTGGCATAGCAAACAGCTTCATGTCCAGTCACCTCCAGCATTCCTATAACTGCATTTTTGATGGAAATCAAAATTCATCACCTAGTAATTTCTCTTGACCAAAACTGTAACCAAGTTCAGAATGCTGAAGAATTAAAAGTCTAATTTAGCTTCGCTATTCATCTTCTGTTTGGGCAGAAATAAAAAATAACATGTGGGGAAAAAAGTGTCCTGGAAACATCCAGTATTGCTATAATAATGGTAAGCAATTTCACATGCAGGGACTCAGGATGCAATGCCCAATCTCCTCCTCCTATCTGGATCTGGCTCCCATTTTATTAGTCACAGAAGGCAAAAGCATCTTGCTTTCAACAGAGAACCCATTTGGCCTTGGCTTATCCAATGAAGAAATCCATTTAGTACAATTTTTTAAATTACGTTTCACATATGACTCAAACTTCCAAATTACAACCTCACTTCATCAGTGATTTTCACTAATTGCCAGTGGGAGGTCTCAGATACAGCTTCACTGTTCGGGGGAACAAGAAATAGTCTGTAAGACAGATGGCAGCTTCATCTCTTCCTCGGGGGCAGGTCCGCAGGCTGTCAGCCTCTTTGATGACAAGGCCGAGGCACTTATACCTCCTGGAGCCCATCTGACTTCCCTGAAGCACTGAGAGGAGAGTGGCTTAACTGCCCCCCTCTAGAAGGTGGAACCAGCAGAGAGCCAGGGCCCACACACAACTGACCCCCCGTCCTTGAGGACTGAGGACCCCGGGGAGTGAGAAGGTTGGCCCGTGGCACCCAACCCACCTCGGCAGGCAACTTTTCCAGGAGGAAGACCGGATTCCTAAGGCTCAGACAGTGATCTCTTTTGTAACAGCTGCAGAGAGATCCAGTGGAGGCTCACGGATGGGGGAACAGTTTTCCTCCATGGTTTTGGGTTCCCCAATTTCTAATTTCAGGGATCACTGGTAAGAGAGGTCTCAAAGAGAGCAATCAGAAATTTATCCTAGTAGATTAACTGTCACCCAAACAACTCTTCTCCACGTTCACCAAGAACAGAGCCAGATGAAAAATGCCCAAAGTAAAACCAGAGAGAGTGAGCCGATATCGAGAGAATGGTACCCTGGAGAGAGGGGGGTTCTCAACCTCACGTGAAACTTTCAGGTATAATTAAATCAACACATTCTCCCAAAGAATTGACATGACAGCTGCAGACAGATGAAAGAATAGGAGGGACCAGATAATTCAGGCTTCCTATTACAGTCATTTAGAGATGGATTTAGCGCTAGACAAGGGCTGACTTAGTTTAAAAGTTTAATTTTACATTAGCTGTAATGCGGACACTCTTTTAGCAGCCCACATGGATTGTTTTAACTGCAAATCATTGATTGGGAGTTGCCAAAAGTACCTGAAGTCTTAGTTTGTCCATGTCTCCATTTAACTGCTATAAAATTGATTAATGCATATTTAAGGTTCTCAGTTTGTAAAACAGAGGTGCTGTTTAATGAATTATTTTTTAACCCAATGTCAATACAAAAGGTGTTTTTCTTTTTCTTTTTTCTAAATTTTGGTTTGGGCTGCAAATAGCTATCAGCAGACAATCTTATATGGTCCAGGTTTTAGAGAGGTGACTGCCCAGAATCCCACTCGAGGCAGAGGCCATATCTAACGTACAGTGAAGAGCATCCCCACAGAGCAGGGTTGAAAGGAAAGGCCCCGAGGGTCCAGCAGCATCAAAATAAGGGATAAGAAGTTGAGAAATGTGGGGAACCTCTGTGTAGCTTTGTTGTGCCCCTTACAAACTGTGGGTAGAGATGCCAAGTACGCACATTGAGAAGGGGATGAATTCCATCAAAACAAATTCTTGAGACACCAAGGCCAACTGGGAGCTTCCGGAGCAGAAGATCCCAGTGATGAGGTCTTGGAACACCACCAGCCTCAACGCCCAGGAGCCCACGATCACGTGGAGGTCCTCCCTCCCACCTACGTGCCATCCCAGGATCACCACATTTCTTGCAGGGAGCCCTCTGCTGCAACTTCTCAGAAGCATGAGCGTGTGCCAAAATCACCTTTAAAATTAAATAATTACTGAGTATTTGTTAAAAGCTGGTCGTTTTATAAGTTTTCTACAACCAATAATCAAATGAAATAGGTGTCAATTCCCCATAGAAAAATGTCTGTTCTTGTTAGAAATGGGATGGAAGTAGTGAGGTAGCAGAGGGGTTCTTTTACTGGAAGTAAAATAATGGTAAAAACGACATGGTCGTGTTCTATCACAATTAGATCTAATTACATTTTATTGCCATAATCAAGGGGCACATGCTTTGGAGAGACTGAGTTTTTACCATCGCCCCAGAGTAGCAGGCCTTCGCCCCCATTACCTTCAAGTCACTTACAGCTAAAACCATCCCGGAATATCCGGTGCAGACTTACACGTTAACTAGTTCCTTGGAGAGAGGGGCTGCGAGCAGTCTGAGAAAGCAAATGCCATCTGGCGCAGTGTGACTTCTCGTTAGCAGTTTATCCGAACGCCATCGGCTTGTTTCCCACACGTGCCTCAATCACCTTCTTCAGAATAAATCGCCTCTCCCGTCAAACCTGCTTTTCCGTGTCTTCTACACAGTAGGGTTACAGGTGCTTATTACTTCGTGCAGCAGGTCCTCCTGAGGTCTTCCCTCATTTCTCAGCTTTCATATTTGATGCAACATCTATAAAGCCCGTGACATAAATCCTCAGTCGGTGCAGGGAGGGAGGGGGGAGGAAACAGACTCCTGCAACTGCCACCCGGTGACCCAGGCAGGACCCAGCTCCCAGCCTGGAAGAGTCCACCGTGGAAAGCTGTTCTGTCAGCACAGAAAAATTTTAGAAAGGTGGCATGGGGAGTCGTTCCTAGAACACAGTCATAAGGCTATCACGGCACCTGGAGAGAGGTGAGTCACTGCACGTGGGTCGTCCTGAGAGGCAAAGGTTTGCGTCCATCCCCCTGCACCCCGCCGACAGCATCAGCTAACACGTCTTCTCTGGGTTCTCACCTGGGACGGGCAGCCCTTCTTCTGAGGATCAAGCAGAAAGCCCGTGAGTGTCAGCTCCCTCTTCATTGAGAAGCCCCCTCCCCTCCCCACATCCACTGGTCCCCAGATCCTGTCCATTGAGCCTCCTAAATTCCTGTTAAGTGGACCATTTTCCTCTCACCCTCTAATTAAAGCCACCATCATACTGGACTCGGGCTACTGAAGAGGCTCCCAAACTGGTCTCCCTGCCTCCGGCCTTGTCTTCCTTCCCCCCATTCACGCTGCAGAACAGATGGTTTGCAGAATCCCACAGATGCAAGCCCCTGACACCGGACAGACCCTGGCCGGACAGAACGCTTCCAGCTGCTCCAAGCTGTCTCGCACCCCAGCCCTTCAGCACACAGCTCCCACTGCCTGTCCCACCGCCCCACCTAGGCCCATTCCTTCCCTCAGATGTCCACATAATGGCCCTCCTGTTTAAGGCCTTCCCTGAACCCCCCTTGCCACCTCCCTCTCTTCCCACATGGAGCCTTCAGTAACCCTCCTCCCACTTCAGTGCAGTTCCTTTGCGACTTCCCATCTTCTTTAGCACAACGGAAGTTCTGTGAGATTGTACAGCCATGTCCATCTTGTCCAGTACTGGGTTTGGGGTGTCTATTTCTGAGTAAGAGCTTAAAGTTAATAACAAATGCAAAGAGAATTAAAGGACAAAGGCTCAAGATAGCATCTCACTGGCAACCCAAGAGGATGCTCATCAGAACCCTTGTGGATCCAACAGTGAAAACAGCATATCTGACAGTGAAATCTCCACTTCTGAAAGAGAAGAGGCCAAGTCATCTGCCACCACTGGCCAATTCTGGTCACGCAGAAGCTATAGTGATAGGTCCAGGAGAAGGTCACCACCTTTCTCCAGAGCTGCATTACTAGCAGGGGAAGGCAGGTGACAATGGGGCTGAGGACCAAGAGACAGGATGCGGACACAGGACTTGGAAGCCCACTTCTGCATTTCTTCCAAGATCCACTAAGTATCCATTGCCAAGCACTCAGACATTCAACAAAAAGTCCTGAATGAAATGGTATTAGTTCTAGAGCCCTTGGGTCCCTCTGCAGGACTGGTGTCAGCCCATCTATGTGGGCCCACAGTGTCACCATTCTAACATTCGAAATTCTGTAGGAAGTCTCAGAGTTTTATCCAAAAGCTTAGTTTCTGGGAAAGACTATGTGCAAATCAGTTAATCTCACTAAATAGTATCTCTTCAAATGATTCCTTCAGTCATCCATAAAATATTGACTAACCACGTGCCACTCTTCTAGGAACTGGAGATACATTACTGAGTAAGACAAGGTGCCTTCAATCATGGACCTTAGTGCAGAAGACAGAAGAGAAACAATATATAAACTAGAAAGCACATTATTTCAAATAGCGATGGGAGTGAGGAAGGAACTGAAGGCAGAGCGAGAAGCAACAGCCCTCCCGTGAGAACAATGATGGGTTATTTCAGGTAAGATGTCCACAGAAGGGCTCTCTGCGGAGCCCATATCCAAGGGGCCAGAGTGATAGAAAAAAATAACGTCATGGAATCTGCAACGAACTTTAAGAGAAAAAAGACACCACTTTAGCCCCATGGCTCCTGGCACAAGCCTGCGCGCCAAACTCCTACTCATCTACCCATTCAGTTTTCTGTCCATTTGCTCATTTATCCTTTCAACAAAGGGTCCACTGAGGATTTGGAGGCTGCCAATATTCTGGAGAATAGTTAAAAAATAATATAATAAATGTTTGTTGCTTGCTTGGGAGAATTAAAGCAAATCTGATCACAGAAAATCCCTGCTATTTGACAAAATTCAACCTACAAAATGGTCATTTCATATGATTCATAGATGATGTTTTATTCCTCAATTAGTGAGCACAAACTATCGGGAGGCAAATAACATGTTTCATAACTTGAATTTTTCAAGTTCTTTGTAAGAGCTCATTTAGACATCATTATAAAATATGAGTATTTTTAGTTAGCAAAGGAGTCTCATCTCTGGGGGATTAAAATCATAGGATAATTTTTAAGGAATCTTTTGTTCACCTTGTTCCATTTACAGTTAATGGTTGAAATAAGTAATAATGCATGTTCTTTCAAATTTTGATATGTCAGGCCCTTCTCCCAAGTTAATGCAAAGTTTATGATATTGTACATGTATGGGTACATATTAGAATTCCTTCCATTTACCTTCCAAGAAAAATTCTAACCTAAGACCATCTTTCTGATCCCTCAGGAGAGAAATGTTTTAAGGTATAATTTCAGATAGGAATTCAAGGAACTGAGCTCAACAAGTTTGCGGAAGATTTTGGTGACAACCATTACACACAATCACAAAACTCCTAAATAAACTGAATCGTGGTCCATTCAGCTTACTATGCCAATTCCAACAGGCGTGTAACTAGAAGTTTCTGTTTAAGGTATTCAAATTTCAGTCCACGTTTCTGTGGCTGTGAGTGTCAAACACTGCCTTTCCTGGTATCAAGCTTAAGAGTTAGAAACCGTCTCTCAGTAGCCATGAAGGGCTTTTTAATTCATGAGCTTATCCAAACCCTCATGGGCTTCACATTCAGGGAGTAATTGTAGTAGATCCCTGAGCTCTTGGGTGATGCATTTCACAGGTGTATCTCTCACTGTGCAGCATAATCATTCTACAACTACTCAAGAGTGCATCACATCCAAGAGATTTCATGATACGACCAAGTTCCTCTAACCTACACTATTCATCACGACACGGAATTGGAAAATGTCCCATTCTCAGTTTACGCAAAGTCAAGGAGGTATATCCTTTCTACAACAGAGTCTAACTTTTCTATCTGGATAATTCAGGAGGCAATCACAAGGGTGAAAACTATCTGACATTGTAAGCACTTGTGAATATCATTCCAGATTCTCAGAATCCAAGAAAAAGCATCTCTGATATACTGGAGGCAACAGCCCTCATTAGAGAAGTGGAGGGCACCGAGTCTCCCAGAAGACCCCTCCAACCTGCAAATATTCCAGTCTGACTTGTCCGGTGCGCCCCAGGCATAATGCAAAAGCAAAACTAAATTGCCCTGTTAATAACCAGGAAACAAATGATTTGAGGGGAAATAACGCTGAATAATGGTACGTAACACAAATGCCAACAATCCCATCCTCAGACAAAGGGCGACCTCTCTTCCCATCTGCTCTTCTTTGCACAGACAACTCGGTTCTCTCTTAGCCAGGAATGAACAATGGAGAATCTGGAAACATCCCTTATAAAAGTGTGGGAATGAATGAAGGCAGAGGGGTATTCATTGGTTCCAGGTTCCTGACATCAAAGGCTAGAGGAGGTCACAGTTGTGGCTCCCAGAAGCAAGAGGAGCCGAAACAGCCCCAGATCCAGCTCCCTGCTTCACAGCATGGGAGCAGAACCAGCTCTTCTCAACCTCACCGAAAAGAGTAAACAAGTGCACAGAATGTTTACTTCTCTCCTGCATCAGCAATGTGCAAAACACCTTCAAAATAAAGCATCTCTTTTTACATAAAATTATATTTTAGGAAGGGTTTGCGCATGTCTAATCTTTAGCTCCTCTAAAGACTCCTGAGTGTTGGGAGGGATAAATTGCGAGTTTGGGATTGGCAGATACAAACTACTATGTACGGAATAGATAAACAACAAGGTCCTGCTGTACAGCACAGGGAGCTATATTCAATGGCTTGTAGTAACCTGTAAGGGAAAAGAATACAAAAAAGAGTATGTGTATATGTGTATAAGTGAATCACTGTGCATATACCAGAAACTAATATAACATTGTGAATCAACTGTATTTTAATAAAAAAATTTAGTAGGAGTGTATAAATCAGTGGTATAGTGTGTGCTTAGCATGCACGAGGTCATGGTCTTCTAAATTATAATCCAGAGTTATTTTCTTTCTTTTCATTTTTTCATTAGGTATTCAGAGAACTGAGCACACAGTGCACACAGAGTGAATTCAGAACTCAACATTCCTGATCGATTCTACCGCTGGATGGACAGTACCCTGGCACTGTGGGCTGACCTTGGGAAGAGCCTGGTCTCGAGCCAACAGGAGCAGAGCGATGCATCTTGCTTCTCCTTTTAAGGCATTTTAAATGAATGCCTTGGACACGGTCTCTTTCTGTTCCACTCACAACCAAATCCTTTCAAGGAAAGCACCCATGTGGTTGAGCTGCAGATTATTTTTATCTGTTTTTGAGAGTCACACAAACTTAACCTGAACCAATATGTTCCCCTGCATGTTCTTCCTGAATTGCAGTCAAAGTTTTTCAGTAATTAAGCACATCTCCTAGAGCGTTGTGAACCAAATAGTGCTGTGTGCCAAAACAAGGAAAGCATTAATGAAGATGAAAAATAAAACGCAGCCAAGTTCAAGTAGCAAAAACGTTCTGCCTCTTTTCACTGAAATGAGATGCAAAAGAAAAAGCATGCAAAGTGAGGAGTGAAGTGTGTTCATGGTTGTCGGTGTGAATCCTCCCACTGAAATCTTAAGAAAATTAATCTCCCATCTCAAGAACCAAAAAAGAAAAAAAAAATCACAGTCACATGGGTTTAAAGTATGTTTCAGTAAATTTCAGAACACTAACTACTTCCTCCTCTAACATTATTATGCTGAGAATTCTACTGTCCCGAGTGGGGAGGAAATAATCCCAAGTGAATTCTCTCTGCATCTCATCCAAAAAGATACTAAATTCTCTAGATTCCATCAAATGTTGTAAAAAAAAAAAAAAGTTTTCCTACCAACGTGTGTTTATCAAATCTAAAATATGTACAGCTTAGGGAGGAGCATCCCAGAAAATTCCAGCCACTGGGAACACATATTTATTTTGCGGGGGACAAGAGGGAGAAGAGGATGGCAAGGTTGGGAACAAAGAGATCATCACGTCCTCAGCAAAATCTACCGTCTCGGATTGCTCTAGGTCTCGGTGGCAGCAGCTCCGACACAAAACAGATGGTACAGCACAGAGCTGGGACACAGGATGCCAAGAAACCACGGAACCACTGGTTCTGTTGACTTCCAAAGCGTTTCCAAACAATCCACACCCCCGAGTCAGCTTCTGAATTTTCACATTTTTTCATTTTTATTCATTTTTAATTGAAGTATAGTCAGTTATAATGTGTCAATTTCAGGTGTACAGCACAATGCCCCAGTCATGCATAAATACACATATATTCATTTTCATATTCTTTTATTTTTCACCTATTTGTTATATAGCACATAACATTTGCAAATCTCGAACTCCCAAATTTATCCCCTCCCACCCCATTTTCCTGGTAACCATAAGATTGCTTACTATGTCTGCCAGTGTGTTTGTTTTGTAGATGAGTTCATTAGTGTCCTCTTTTTCTTCTTCTATTTTTTTTAAGATTCCACATATGAGTGATATCATAAGGTATTCTTTCTCTTTCTGGCTTACTTCATTTAGAAAGACAATCTCCAGCTTCATCCATGTTGCTGCAAATGACATTATTTTATTCTTTTTATGGCTGAGTAGTATTCCATCATATAAATATAACACAACTTCTTTATCCAGTCCTCTCTCAATGGACATTTAGGTTGTTTCCAGGTCATGGCTAATTCTTGCAGTTTAATTCTCCACTCATTCCAATCACTATAGCTGTTACAGTTTTACATATGCTTCTTATACATTTCAATATTAATTTTATTTTTTAAAAACTCAATGTTCTTAGACAAAACTCTTGCTAATTAGATAGTGAAGTGGCGTGTTAGCTTCCTATGGAACAAACTACCGCTATAACACATGATGATAAACTTGGTGGCTTAACACAACTCAAATTTATTCCCTTGCATTTCTGAAGGTCAGAAATTTGAAGCAGGCCTCCCTGGGATGAAACCAAGACCTCAGCAAGGCTACACAGAAGGCTCTAGATGGAATGCATCTCCTTGTCTTTTCCAGTTTTGAGTGCTACACTCTTGCATCCATTGGCTCCAATCATCACTTCCATCTTCAAGGCCAACAGCAGAGCACCTTCAGATCTCTTCTTGCTCCATCTTCACATCCCCCTCTCCGATCTGTCTGTCGCAAATATGCAGCTGCTTCCCCTTCATAATGACTCTCGTGATTACATTCAGAACTCTGTGGACAAGCAGGATAATCTCCCATCACAAGACCCTTAACTCAGTCACGTCTGCCAAGTTCCTTTTGCCATGTAAGGTGACGTTCCCAGGTTCCAGGAATTAGAAGGGGGACATCTTTGGGGTCCTCTGTTACCACGTGGTGCATCAAGACACATGCACTGTGCATCATATGTGGGAGGATACAGTTTTCACAACCCACTAGTCCATCGTGCAATCAAAAACTGGACAGAAACTTTTTTATAAGTTGATGTAGGGGAGCTTTGTAACAGTAAGAATACTTGGCAACTTTCACTAAGACCTTTGAAATAAGTGTGAAAACGCATGCCTAATGTGGCTGCAGCAACAGAGGGCTGAGCAGAAAGCTTGAGAGGCGTGCAACGTCCCCAATTAATCCCACATCATCTAAGAACTACATAAACAGAAGAGCTTTCAGCTGCTAACAAAGCAATGGCTACGTTTCGTCCCGCCCCGGCCAGTGCAGAGCGCGTGCAGCTAACCCGGCAATGACCCGGGAATGGCAGCCACCAAGGAGGCGCCACCACTTTCAGATTGGACTCCTGAGCAGAAACTGATGGGACAGAGAAAGCGAAGAAAACATTTTCATGGCAGCTTAAAATCTGAAAATAAATTTAGCACGGGATTTGCATTTCTTAACCTCCCTAAGAAAGTATGCTAAAATCCAGCTCTGCTCCCAATGCACACAAATACACACACCACACAAAACACATGCCACACGCATGCGTAAATATATAAACGTGCGCACCACATAAACATGCAGACACAGAGACAGAGATACACACGACTCCATATGTTTAGATAGAAGGACACACACAGATCACACACCACATGCACACACAGGAATCAGGTGCATACAGACCCACCCAGGCACCACACGTGCACGCACACACTGACACATACATGCAAGTTCACACAGACGCGCATGCACACACAGACACATGCAGAGACATACCAGACACCCATGAAGAGCAAGAGCCGTCTTAACGGTAGGGAGACCTGAAAGGCCTCCGAGTGTAAGGGATTTTGGAGCGTCATCACTTGGGGTTGGGGGTGCAGGGGTGACCCACTTAGAATCTCTAGAAAAACAGATTCCTCCTACCCAGTTTCCACACACTGTCACAGGGATCCTTCACGTACTCAGTCACACAGGGTACCATCCACAGTGGTCACATTTTAAAAATTTAAAAAACTGCCTTCACTTTTGTGTAAACCAAAGAATCTTCATCATCTCCTCCAAAGGAACCCAGTCGAAGAGGAATGATGTTTTGCATGGCCTTCCATTTACTGGAAGGTTGGCCATTTCCTGAGACGTTGGCTCATCAAAGCATCCAGGAGCCCCACAGGAGGAAGCTCCCTGAAGGGCGTCGAGGGGCAAATGGGTGGGAGGAGACCTGGAGCCACACTGGAGTGACACCCCGTGGGACACGTGGGACTCCCTGAGAGGAGTCTGCGAACCACAGCTCCACAGACACACTTACGTAAAGAACATGCCCGTCAGACTCTGAAATTTGCATGAAATCCAATGGGGGCAACACCAGTACCACTGAACTAAAAAGAATCTCTCCATTCTACCAAATCCTGGAATTATTCCCACATCAGCTTCTCTGGAAGGAAGTAGCGAAAAATGTCAGTCATACCAGCTTCTGATTATTTACTTTCTTCTCAACGACATTAACACAGGAACATCTATGGCTTTTTGGTCAATAAAGTACAATAAAAAAAAATTCCCAAGTCCTAATGGATGGGGAAAAAAGCCCATGATTGCTGTCACCACTCAAAGAACAAACCCCAGTGGAAAAATGAATTCTGCGATGCCTGTTGATAATCACATTTTTTCATAAATAAAGGACAGTGAGGTTCAGTGGGAATTTTACCTAGCCTGCTCACTAAATGTCTATGGAGGAGGAAAAGGGATTTACTCTGAGGTTTTTAAGGCTTCCAGAGCTTTGCACAGTGTAACTGTGGTTACTCAGAGTGAGGGCCCAGAACCAGTGGCATCAGCATCGTCGGGGAGCTTATCGGAAGTGCAGCATCTCAGGCCCCATCCAGGAACCACTGGGTCAGTTTCTACATTTTCACAGAACCCCCAGATGCTGTGTACGTACTTTGAGGGACGCGAAGCAGTGGAATGAACACCAGGAGTGCAGTCAAGACCAAAAACGTCACTTGTTAGTTTACTTTTTCAAACTCTTGACTATAATTAATTTCTGTTATTAATGAAGCTAGTTGGCAATGACTTGGAATTCCTCAGCTAACACGACGAGTCTGAATACAATTAATCAGTGAAATGGCCAGTTTTTGTGCATCATTAAAGTTTACAAAGATTATCTTCCCCGCTCATTATAAAGAAAACAGTATCACCAAAGAATCTAGGGGCCGCACCTCCCCCCTGAGCTGCCTCCCTCCGGTTTGCTTTCCTGTTAGCATAACAACTCACACTTGCAGGCCTGGAACACACACAAAAAGCAAACTAATACAAAGGAGCTTTTCCCCTTCTGGTCATGGTTTACGGTAGCAACAGGTGAGAAAGGTCAAGACGAGCAGTGATTTACATCATCCCATGCAAACGAGACAGGAGCAGTAACCACGGCAACCAGACAAAAACTTCAAAAATGACTTGCAGTTTACAAAGGTCAAAGCAGCTCTATTCCTCCACCCCACCCTACCCCACACCCCCCGCCAAGAAAAAAGTGGGCAAATCCACCAAAACTTTTCCCAGAAATAGCCAAATTTTCAGGAGACGTAACACAGGCCTACACAGATTGTCTGACTGGCTGTGGAGTTATTAAATTACATGTTTTTTACAACTGAGTTAGTTAGGTGTGACTCAATTTAAATCTAAGGTTTCGTGTCTTCTAAAGCTAAAATGGGCCCTTACTAGAGTCAGCTCATCCTTTGGGTAAAAGGTGTATCTCTTGGAGGTGGATTAACTCTTGGGCAGCATCTCACCAGTTTTCAAGATTTAAGAAATTCATGTAGCTTCTAAAGGGTCCAATTTACACCTAAGGAAGATGAATGATCTCAAGGATCCTGCCTATTAAGTGCTTACTAAGTTGGTCCTCTACAGATTTCCTATGGAAGAATCAATCTGGATCCGCACATTATTTACAGAGAGAAAATGAAGGAGGAACACTTTGACGCTTAATGCCAGCTGGCCCACTGCCTAGAGACGTCCATCCGTCCAATTCCACTGCCACAAGCAACACCCCGCGGGGGGTTTTGTAGATTCTCCTACTTACCCGTTTGACGCGCTCTCTCCCTCACTGCCTCTTCAGGTGTTACCTTCTCCCTTTTCAGATCAGCTTGTGCCCTGCCTGATGTTGAGTGCAGCCCCACCAGGAGAAACCAGCCACTCCATTAACAAAAGGAGAAGGTACGGAATCACAACAGAATGGAGTGGAAAAAAAAAAAACTGTCAATTGGCGTCTCCGTGATACTTTGATAGCCCAGAAGGACATATTTACCTTTCACTAATTTTTTTCATTCCACATCAGAGCAGAAAATATTTTTGAGCTTGATAAATGAAAGCTCATTTGGAGCACCTGCTATCTGAATTACCACTCTCGGGGCTAAATTAATAACTCTGGCATATTATAAAGACATAAATGTAAAGCTGAGTTCCAGCCCTCCTAGCGTGTTTATGTGAGTTTTTGCCTCATTTTGTGTGTTTGTGTTTGGTTTTCCTCCTTTCTCTGCAAACCATGTCGCCGCTCATCGCCACCATGTTATTACTCACCGGGGGAGTGTACAAATAAAAGCTGACCTTGTTTGCAAAGTCCTCCTGGTTGTGACTTTTTTTAAGTGAGAGCCTCACTTCCAGCTGAAATCTAAAAAGAGCTCTGAAACATTTCAGAATTAAACATTTGCATCCCACTTTGTGCCTACCACATTGCTGATGGATCTACAAAAAAAAAGAAAAAGAATTTTAATGCTGTTTTTTTTTTACATGGTATTAACATAGGACCACGCCCCGGAATTTTCCATGGCTCAGCTCAGGGTTCACAAAGCAAGAAAAAGCTTTCCATCGCCAAAATGCAAAAACAACCTGAACCAGCTGCCACGACCATTCTAGCGTCTTAATTTGGCGCTGATTCTCTAATTTGCTCATTTATTTTCTCTCACCCAGTAATTAACGCTGACAGCAGCCTTTGCGAGGTTGGCCACGGAGTGTTCCATGTCTCAGGAGAAGGAAAAATTCCTTAGATATGTTTCCAGCTGCTGTGCATGTACTGAAGCCAAGAACCAGCAAACTATCACAAGATCCACATAATGAAGTGCTGAAACCAGCGAGGCCTAAGACATCGAAGACCGTGCCTAGACCAGCACGGGCTGGTTTTTCAGACCTATAAATGGACTACACCATCATTACATCTAACATAGCATCTATGAGGGGACCCGCTACGCCTGTTACATTACCCCCTCCCTTTGCAGAGTGGATATTTCCAATTGATGCTCATGCATTTCCCTGATTGAAACCCGTTTTAATCCTCCTAGACCGTGTGCTTCTGCAAATACCATCACAGCACACACGGTAACCAGAAGTTCAGACCTTTATAAAGAAAAGCACTGGAGAAAAATGGAGTGCCACTGAACCTCACAATCCTCAGAATCGAAATTATTAGAAAAGTTCGCAGAAAAAAGCCAAATGATCCCCACCAACAGCATCTGAGGAAGGCCCATCACTGTGGCCCAGTATCAGGCCTTATTCACCCCCAGACTGTAACCTCAGTTGTAGGGGAGCATGGTCCAAAGGCTGTGACCATTCTTTCTACAAATCATTCATTCATTCACTTGCTCATCCAATATTTTTTGAGCACCTACTGTGTGTGTCGAGTGAACAAAGCCAGTCCTCTGCCCTCCTGGGCCGGCCCTCCAGGGAAGGGGACACTAACCAGACAGACACAGAAGCCCACGCAGGATGCCGGTGGCCACAGGGGAAGACAGCAGGACACGGGGTAGCAGGTGGCTGGGACAGGATGCTGAGACAGCCCCGGGAAGGAGAGGATCAGTAAGCCCAGAGAGAAGGAGGGCCAGACGGGGCTGGGGGCAGCAAGGCTGGGAAGCAGGGACCACAGAGTGGAGCTCACTTCGGGCCGTGGGCCCCTCCAGAGACTCTGGATTTATATATATTCCATGTTTCATACCATCTCAGCCAGGTGATCAAGTCAACACCATCGGTCACAAGTCATGCTAATGGCTGTACCCCTAAAACCCACGAGGACAGCACTTCACCTCGCTGGCTTTCCTCGCAAAACTCATAACTACCATTTAGTCCAGAGAAAAACATCAGACAAACCCAAACTGAGAGACAGTCTACAGACTGCCTGACCAGCATTCCTCAAAACTGTCATGGTCATCGCAAACACGGACAAGTCTGAGAAACTGTCACAGCCCCAAGGAACCTAGGAGGACATGACAAGTTAATCTGGTATCCTCCATGGGGTCCTGGAACATGATCCCACGAGAAAGGACATGAGGGAAAAACTGAGGAAGTCCAAATAAAGTATGGACCTTAGTTAACACTGATGTAATAGCGCGTCACTGCTGGTGTTTCCCGGTGACCACACAGCACGCTAACGTAAGACGTTAACAACAGAGCTCCGGATGCATGGGACATGGGAATGCGGTGCTATCCTGGCAACCTTTCTGTAAATCTAAAACTATCTGAAAATTTGATTTTTTAGCTTATCTTGTTAAAAACATGCCAAGGCTCTCTGTCTAGAAATAATGATCCTGGAATAAATACAAACTAAAACAAAAATGATGGTTAAGGAAGGAGTAAGAATTTCAGGATTTAATGCCTCTCTGTATGTTACTGCTAAGTGGTATCAAACCTACCTGAACCCTCAAAGCCAGCCCATTCCATTCCTTAGTGACTCTAAATTATTAAGTTTTTTTTTTTCCCCATTGGCCCTAATTCTTTCCTCTGGGGCACCAATGACAAGGAAAACCTCCCTCCCAGTCAACAGTCCTTCAAGTCTTTGGCGAGAATGCTCTTCAACTCAAGTACTTTCTTGCCGTCGCTAGGTTCCAAACTTCCTGCAGCAACAATGCATGTCGGTGTGTCCCTGGTGTATCCGTGTTTGTCATGTCTCCAGGGAGGGGGCCTGGCTTCTCCCAGGGAGGAGGTAACAGATGAGAGTGTCTGCCTGATATGCGCACAGGGTCACAGGTATCTGAAGGGATGCTCAGGTAAGGGCGCTGACACACCTGTCCCCAAGCCCCTCCTTTAACTTCTCCGTGGTCCAGAGCATGGGCCCAAGGTGGCCTCTCTGTATTAGAGGCCCCCATCTATGGGGATTAAACCTTCTCAAAGATCTCCCTTCTGCCCTCCTCTGTCACCCTCGCAGACAAACACAATGCCTACATCCATGGATTATTCAATAAAGGATGCTGCCAACTTCTAGGGAGTAAGGTAAGATCAAGCTAATGTAATATAGGATCTCACACCTCTGGAGCAGCCAGGTGACACGTACAAGAGAGAAAATGAGGAGAGACAAGGGCCACGTGCAAATAAAGGGACGTGCGTCCAGAACGATGCCTCACTCTCCTGAATGGTTTTAACTCCAGGTTTCCACAAGAACAATTTTAATCCGGAAAGTCAAACCAAGACTTTGAGGTTCAAATTAACTATGGAATTAATAATGTTTAACAGAAATAAAATCTCCTAAATTCAGTCTCCAATGAGTCTTCAGATAAGTGTCCCTTTTTTCATGTTTTAGTTGTGGAAATTCATCACAGGCCTTCATCAAATTGGTTTCCCACTGAAATGGAAGTCACACAGCCTTTTACACAGTCAGGACAATGCAGCTGCTTTTAACATTATTTAGACAGTTCATCAGAGGTTATTTTTTTTATTTTCCAAACTATTATGCACATGTACATTTTTAGGTTAAGTTAAATAAAGAAATAAGCTGTTTTACAAGACAAAACAAATAGTGGTTGCAGCAAAAGCAGTTCTAAGAAGGAAGTTTACAGTGATACAAGCTTACCTCGGAAAACAAGAAAAATCTCAAATAAACAACCTAATCTTAACACCTAAAGTAACTAGAGAAAGAAGAACAACCAAAACTCAAAGTTAGTAAAAGGAAAGAAACCATAAAGATCAGAGCAGAAACAAATGAAATAGAGACTAAAAAAGAAAACAATAGAAAAGATCAATGAAACTAAAAACTGGTTCTTTGAAAAGATAAACAAAACTGATAAACCTTAAGCCAGACTCACCAAGAAAAAGAAAAAAAGGAGAGGGTCCAAGTCAATAAAATCAGAAGGGAAAAAGGAGGAGTTACAACCAACACCACAGCAAGACAAAGGATCGTAAGAGGCCTACTACAAGCAACGACAGGCCAATAAAATGGACAAACTAGAAGAAATGGACAAGTTCTTCGAAAGGTACAATCTCCCAAGACTGAACCAGGAAGAAGTAGAAAATATGAAGAAACCTGTAATGAAAACATATACAAAAGAATATATCTAGATATGTTTGTATAACTGAATTACTATGCTGTATACCAGAAACTGATACAACATTGTAAATCAACTGTACCTCAAGTTTCAAAAATGTCTTTAAAAACAGAAATATAAACAGATGAGTTACAGTACTGAAATTGAATCAGTAATTGAATAGTTTCCAACAAATAAAAGTCTAGGACCAGATGGCTTCACAGGTGAATTCTACCAAACATTCAGGGAAGACTCAACACCTATCCCTCTGAAACCATTCCCAAAATTTGCAGAGGAAAGAGCACCTCTGAACTCATCCTACAAGGCAACCATCATCCTGGTATCAATAGCAGACAAAGACATCACACACACACACACAAAGTTCCAACATCGCTGATGAACATAGATGCAAAAACCCTCAACAAAACACAAGTAAACTTCACTAAGTGAAGTAAGTCAGAGAAAGACAAATATATGAATCTAATAAAAAATGACACAAATAAACTTATTTACAAACCAGAAATAGATTCTCAGACATAGAAAACAAACTTATGGTTACCAAAGGCAAAAGGTGGGGGAGAGATAAATTAGGAGTTTGGGATTAACAGATACATGGTAATATATATAATATATAAACAATAAGGACCCACTGTATAGCATAGGGAACTATATCCAATATCTTAGAATAACCTATAATGGAAAAGAATCTGAAAAAGAACATATATATATGTATGTATAACTCAATCACTTTGCTGTACACCTGAAACTAATACAACATGGCAAATCAACTATACTTCAATTAAAAATAAAAATTTTTAAATTTTAAAAGATAAGGCAATTAGTGAGAAAGTGATTTGATTTACATAGTTAGTAAAACAGTATTTAAAATCTATTAAAAGCTAAAGAAATCTGTCCTTTACTTAGATAGAACTGGAATTAATGCTTCCAAGTAAGAGGAAAATGAAATAGAAAATGGCACGTAAGAGAACTGAGCAACTGCCAAGCTGAGCCCCTACAAAGGACCCTTAAGCACATTGGCAACAGTGAGTGCTTTTAAATGCTTAAATGTCACTGCATTTCTAGAGCCCTACCTTATCCCAGTCCCGTGAGAGATGAAAGCTCATATACTATCATCTCCCTTAGAAGAAAGTGGTTTCAGTTTCTAAATGAGAAGCTTAATCATGCCCATGGATCCCATAAAGATGCAGAATTGTAAACGTTTACAAAGTGGGAAACCTTCACAATGAATTTTTCAAATCTTAGCTATAATTGCAGCCACTGTATATAGTACAAAACTGTTTACAAAAGCTCAGAAATCAAAGCCATTAAATACAATCTAAGTGTCTCTAATATCATACAAATGGTTAAAAAGATAAAAAGAGGGACCAAAGGGAAGGTGACATGAGTCATTGTTTCAGCAGTGAATTATCAATTGCCAGAGATCATTACGGCACCATAATTATCTCCTGGGTGAACTCCGTCTTATAAGCAGCTGGTCTGGAAGAAGCGTCCCCCAGGCATAAAATCAGCAAATGTTCATCAGGCATCAAAAGCAACTCTCCACTCTAGGTCAAAAGCAGGTCACTCAGGACCAATCCAAGAGGCAGAAAAGTCTCTGAAGACTGGGGGCAGCCCACCCACCAGGATGCGGGCAAGGTGCCAAACACTCTGCACCGATCCCTTACAGACGGTGTACTGGGCTGAACAGTGGAATCGTGCCTCCACAAAGTCCATGTCCTCCTGGAACTTCAGAAGGTTATGAACTTGGAAATAAGATTTTTGCAGACATAATGAGATACATTAAGACAAGATATTTCCGGGGGTGGGTATAGCTCAGGGGTAGAGTGCATGCTTAGCATGCATGAGGTTCTGGATTCAATCCCCAGTACCTCTGTCAAAATAAGTAAGTAAGTAAATAAATAAATAAATACCCTAATTACCCTCCCAGAAAAAAAAAAATTAGCAGCACTATTTACAATTACCAAGTATGGAAGCAACCTAAGTGTCCATCAATAGATGAATGGGTAAAGAAGCTGTGTATATATATATACACAATGGATATTATTCACCATAAAAATGTATGAAATTTTGCCATTTTCAACACTGTGGATGGACCAAGTGAAATAAGTCAGACAGAGAAAGCTAAATACCATATGATACCACTTGTTTACGGAATCTAAAAAATAAAACAAGTGAATGCATATGCAAAACAGAAACTGACTCAGATGCAGAAAACAAACCAGGGAAGGGGCAAGGAAAAGGGGAGGGTCAACTTAGTGGTGTAGAGTTAAGCGATACAAACCATACATAAAGCAGGTAAGCAACAAGGTTATATTCTGCAGAACAGAGAATTATAGCTGTTATTTTGTAATAACTTTTAATGGAGTATAATCTATAAAAATACTGAATCACTATGTTGTACACCTGAAACTAATATAATATTGTAAATCAACCATTCTTCAATTTTAAAAAAGAGTGTGAATGTGTGGCAAAAATAAATAAATAAATAAGATGAAGTCTCTCTGGATTAGAGGAGGCCCTAATCCAATTGATGACCTTATAAGAAAAGACATAGGGGTATGCACAGGGCAAATGCCACATGCGACTGTGGAAAAGCCTGGAGTGATGTGTCTATGAGCCAAGGAACACCAGGGACTACAGGCAACCACAGCCAGGAAGCCAGGAAGGGGCCTGGACCAGATTTTCCCTCACAACCTCAGAAGGAACCAACTCTGCTGACTGGCACCTTGGTCTTGACTTCTGGCCTCCCAGAGTGTGAGAAAACAAACTTCCATTGCTGTAAGCCACCATATATGTGTTTGGTAGCCTCTAGAAAACACACACAGACAGCAACTACAACTACAACGAGAATTATGAAAATCCCCTTGGTCATAGTACAAAGACTTAGCAAATCTCAGCCACTACTAACATAAACAGTGTTTAGGGTAACCAAGAGAATATTTAATAAACTATAACTTGCCTTCCAATGAAGCAATTTGGGGTTTAGGGTCTGCACTTTAATCATGAACTAAGCATATACTTGTTGCATGACCAAAATACTTCAGGCTTTGACTTGGACACCATGGGAGACTAGAAACAAGCTAAACAAACAAACAAAAAGAAAAGACCAAGAGAGATTCAGATTATCTGGAGAACAAAGGAGACACATTCTAATGATAATGAGATTTACAACAAAGTACACAATATATAAGCTTGAATCACTTGAAAATGCCAACTTTTTCTTGAACTACAAAAATAGCTATTCCATATGGCTTAAGCCAGGGGTCGAAACTGGAGCCCATGGACCAAATGTGAACCACAGCCTGTTTGTGTAAATAAAGCTTTATTGGCACACAGCCACACCCACTCCTTTGCACGCTGCCAATAGCTGCTTTCATGCTACAACAGTACAATTAGGTCACAGTAGGGATCATGCGGACTTCAAAGCCTAAAATATTTAACAATTGGCCCTTTATGAGCAAACTTTGTCAAGCTTGCTTTAACCTAATGGTTACATCAAATGACAGGCAAGGGCAACAGAATTTCAGGAGCAGGAGAGGTGAGTGAAGTGTTTCCAGAGCCCAGATTTGAGCTGGGGCTTGAGAAAGAGTTGGATTTTGAACCGGAAGGAAAAGGACTCTTCAAGGGATGGCAACAGGTGATAATGACCGTGCTGGCTCTCAGGACCCAAATGCAAGGGGCACCCCAGCCACTTGGACATACAAAAACACCCCCACCACTTGCTTCCAGGCACTGTCTGCCAAGCCCACTGGGGGAACCTGGAACCAGAATGAGAAAAGTTTGGTACAGTTTTCAGAGACATCAAAATTCCCTGAACACCAGTCAGAGAAACAGTATATTTTTCTTTAAAACACAAATCAACAAAGGTATAATAGATTTTTTATGTTAGGGAGATAAGTTCTATAAATGTGAAATGACTGAATCTACAGCCAAAATTGTATTATATGAAATATCTATCCTCATGGCTCTCTATAGGGTTATATCATGAAGAATAACTATTCCAATGTTTGCAGTAATTACATTTTAAAGACTTATGGGTGTTTCAGATAATTGGGATCCCCTTGGAGGTTATCAAATCAAAAAGGAACACAAAAGACCATTTCTTCCTCATTAATAAGCCACACCTTTTCATCCAAAATATGATCTGCTATAAAGCTTGTGTTTGTATTGTACACAGAGTTGTAAAGTTCTTGCTACCAAGTGCTTCCCAAAGATATAAAAATGCTGAAAGCAAGAGGGAAATTTGCCTGAGTCAGGACTGCCCTCCTCTCTTCCAAAAGCACATTAAAACCTGGTGGTAACAGACATTTAAGGTTTAGGATTCAGCTAGAAAGCCAAGTGGGGTGCATGTATGTAAGCCAACGAGTAAATAGATGTTTGTGTGTTCATGTCTGAAATTAAATATATCTGAAACCACATTTATGAGGCCCGTTCAGGGTAAAATAGTTTACTGATTTTATCAAAACTCATTCTCAGCACACACAGGTGCCTTTAATTACATAAACCAGCCCTCCGCTGCCCGTGAAGACTTCAGCTTACAAAATAAGAATTAGACAGCTTGGAAAGACTGATGTACAACACAATTGCTCCTGATTGTCTACTGTAAATGCTGCCAGCCCTTAGCTACCTTCCAGAGGTGACTTCCTCCCTGAGAGCCATCAGTGACTGAAGGTCTGAGAGGCCCTGGGCAGCGGGTCTTGAGATGCCAGTTCAGGTCCCTGGTTCCATCCCAGTAGAGCGGGGCGATGAAAGGGCAGGACTCCGGTCCTGTGTCAGCACACAGTCATGCTTCTGGTCACATGACCTGCTTCACCCCTACTGTTTTATGTGACTCTATGTGAGCTTCATGTGACTACACAAATACCAGGACAATCCCCTGCCACACAAGGATGGCAGTGACTTCCTCAAGATAATCTAAGAAGCTGGGGAGGGAAACACAGGGCAGAGTTTGGAGCCAGGTTGAGTCACAGTCAGCTCAGCTGTCATCTCCGGGCCTGTTGGGCTGAGAGGAGAAAGAATTTTCCTGAGAGCTGTGTGGAGGCCCCTGCTGGGCACTGAGGCCCGGGCTGGAAGGGTGCGGCCAGCCCACGGAAACCTCTCGGGGCACAAGCCTTCCTTGCCCACCTTCTCCAGGGCTCCCATGGGGAAGTCAGCCAAAAGCAGACGCTGGCCAGCCTCTGAGGCAGCCCGTGCAGGTGAATCCCCCCAGAGCTGGGATCTGCAGGAGCCAACAGAAAACTCCCAGAACCAAAGGAAAAGACATCACCAACCCTCCATTCATTTGTCAATAG